ACTTATTTATTTGTCTGATGAACAATAAAATAACATATGATATTATTAGGTCGCAGCTGAAAAACAAAACAACCCCACAATATTTTTTAAATAGTATTATAGGGTTGTGCAATAATCATAAACTAAATCTGGAGACAATGATGGAAAGTAAAAAAAAATTTAAATTGTCGGCCTCAAAAATTTAATTCCTGAAACAGATCTTCAATCTCTAAAATGTGCAGTTGAGTACTGGAACCTAACAGAGCAGAGCAGAGCAGAGAACTATCTTTAAGGACATTCTCGAAAAACATATTTCAAGATTATCACGTTAAAAAAAAATCACAAAAAAAAAATTCCAAGATTTTTTATATTTATCTTGTATAAAACTCTTAATTTACCTTACTTGTATAGTGGGTGTTAATTAAACCTAAAAAAAAAAAAATTAGATGTAAGATAAATTAAATGGTTTAACTAAATGGAATTTATGCTTCTGTTAGGACCAACATCAAGCAATAATTTAATTAGATTCTCACTAACTTTTTTATTATAATCGATATATCCATCAATAAAAAGTTTCGGATGTAAGTTATTTTTTAATAAATTTTTTGTATTTGATAACCTTTATAATTTTTTAATCCCTTATAACTATAATAAAAAATTTCACGCGATTAAAGTTGTTACCTTAATCTTAATTTGTTAATCGCAATATAGCATAATAAATAACTTGCTTGTTATTTAATGTTTGCAAGTATGTTAATGTAACTATATAAATTTTTATAATTTCATTTTATATTACGACAAGTTTAAAATGCTAAATTTATAATCGAACAATTCGCCTTTTCGCTATTAATTTTTCAAATTTCACGCATAAAGCATTATGGGATAACTGAGGCGCAAACAAACCAAAACAATTATTTAACATTACTGTTTTCTACAATACTGTAACAATGTCTGATTCTTCCTCTGATAACGAAAAAATTAAACCATTTATGGATGAAATTAAAAATTGGAATGTTGTTAAACTGAAAGAATTCCTGCAAGCAAGGAGTATTCCTCTTGGTGAAAATCCTTCAAAAAAAATTGTTAAAAAACGTTTATTATGCCAATAAACTTAAATTACCATTAAATAAAACTGTACAAGAAGAAACTGAAGAAATTAAATCCAGATCTCTTCAAAAACTAAAATTAAAATCAGGTGTCCAGCTTCCCCATCCTTTTGAAATCGGAAATTGGGTGTTAGAAAAAGAAGTAGTAATAAAATTATTACCAACCACAAACTATTTGGACATTGAAACTTATTCTTTTCTCACTCACAGCTCTAAAGCCTTGAAAGAAGGACATTCTCTTTATTCTTCAGGTCATGTAACCTCAGTTGCTTTTAACAGCTTATCAGATGCTGTAAAATTTTGTTATTTAAAAGGAACTGTAGTCCCTCAAACAAGAATAAATGATGAAGAATATGAATCATGGGTATGTTTGAATAAAAACGGAAGTATATTCACTGCAGAATGCAATTGTGTAGCCGGTTATGGAGAAAGCTGCAAACATATATTTGCTTTGTTGTTGTTTTTCGAAGAGCATGTGCGATTAGGAGATAATGTAACATGCACATCAGTAAAACAAAAGTGGGGGACTAAAACACAGAAGAGAAAATTGCATGAGCCAGATATATTTCAAAATATTTCCATTAAAAAAAGTCAAATCAAGCTTAGAAAATAGTAATCTAAAACTCAGTCGATTCTTATATAATCCTCGTCCTTATTATTTAAAGCAGTCAGAGTTTACAAAGGAAGATTGGGAAGCAGTTGCAGAAGCAACAGATGGAAAATGTGCTGTAATTTGCCTCAAGCCAAATATACAGTCAGAATACTTTATGAAAAAATTACCTTTAAATGCAACTAAAAACAAAGTGCTACCACCTACCATAGAGCATTATGTAGCTCAGATAGAATGTTCTTATAAGAATGAATCATTAACATTTAAATGTGAAAAATTTTTAAGGACGTTTTCAATAACACCATCTCAAGCAGAACTTATAAAAGAAGCTACGATATCTCAATCAAAAAGTTTACTTTGGAAATCATATAGAGTTGGAACAATATCATCATCTATTGCTCATGCTGTCATAGCAAAATTTGATGTTGACTTGAAAGTGAAAAACAAAAAGGCAGCATTTAATTTATGTGCTCAAATTTTATGTTACAAAAATAATGCTAAAAGTAAATCAATTCAATGGGGTAACATGTTTGAATCCTATGCTCGAAAAAGATATATCAGGGAAATGAAAAAAACTCATAAAAACTTTACATGTTATCAAACCGGCTTAATAGTATCCATCAAAACACCTTATCTTACAGCAAGCCCAGATGGTATAACAAGTTGTACTTGTTATGGGTTGGGTTTGCTTGAAATTAAATGTCCATGGACATTTAGGCAGAAAAAAATATGTGAATATGCTCAAAGTTTTTTTGAAAAAAATTCTTGTACTAACACATACTCACTGAAAAGTAGTCATCAATATCGCACCCAAATACAACACCAGTGGCTATCCTCATGCTGATTTCTATGTATGTTTAGCAAGTGATCAAAACTGTGAAAGAATTTATTCTGATCCTAACTATAAAAAAAATGAACAAAAATTTCAGAAATTTTTTACAGAGTATGTTTTCCCTGAATTGATAACTAAAAACTTGAGAAAAAAGAAATAGTTACTACAATTTTAAATGATCTCATAAAGAAATGCATTAATGATTCAAACAGTAAACAAGTTAATGAAAAATTAACAAACGACATCATAAATCTTGATCAACAAAAAATATGACATTGTGCTGAAAATTTGATGAAAACATTTATATTATAAGTATTTTGTGGTGTTTTGTTTTTTTTATACAAAAATAAAAAGAAAAAATAGAGATATCTTTTTATTAGTATCAGCATATTTAATTTACATTAGATAAATTCCTTTACAATTGAGGGTTGTAAATTACTTAAAGCTCCACAAATAATATATATGTAATCAATGAGATCTAGCATTGTTAGTGATAACTCGTTTTTACATATTTTAAATTCTTTAAGTCGTCGAGTTGATCGCTCCACATGGACTCGTGATCTAGCAATTTCTTTGGCTGAGAGGACTTTAGTTCGTGTAAAATGTAGTCCTTTTTTTTTAAAAGGTGGACAAACCAATACGACTTTTTTTTTTAAGAGCAAATCTTGGATATTAAAACCTTTATCAGCCAAGCAAACAGATCCTTCAGAAAACATATTAATAACATTGCAGTCCTCTGTAATGTGTCTATCTGAAGCTTGGCCACCATAAGCTTTGGAGATAAAACTGAAAGAACCAGTTTTTGTTGTCACAACTAGTTTTTTTAATGTGTTACAACTTTTATAAGTACTAAATGTTTGATACTGTGCCTTCGCATTTGCTGGTTTCTGAATTTTTTGCTCAGTACAGTCTATTATACCTTCTACGTTGTGTAACTTTCCAGAAAAATGCCTTGCTTTATATAACAAATTTGCTTCTTTTGTTGGCCAAAGAAGAAGAGGTTTTAACTCATTTCCAAAATAAGTAATCCAGGTAGTTAATATACTTGAGCATTGAGAATTAAAAATCTAAATGCTAAATCTTGAATAGCCAAGTCTAGTCGGAGCTTCATGCACATTAGTAGAATTTCATCCTCAATTGTTAAGGTGCGTTTATTCCCTGGTTTTTTTTTATTCTCGCTTCTAAATTTAAAAGATTGTGAAGGTTTTCCCTTGTAATAACATACGTTTTCATATTTTTTCTTTCCTTTACTAAAAACATAAATACTTTTTTTGTGCACCCAATGTAGAACTTTATCAATCTATCCGAATGGGATAACCTATTCCAAGTAAACTCTGCTTGTGGTATCAAAGAAAACTTACTCAGCAATCGTTAACGATGTTTTAATAACAAAGGTTTTTTTAAGTATTCTTTTGGGAGTATTTTGAAGAATTTATAAGTCTTTTTCTGACGAAACAGAAACAGGAACAACAGGTAATGCATAATCGTGATCATGATGAATATCCATAGGCTGAGTATTTTCATTTTGATGATGAAAATCATTATTTTTATCATGATTAATTATATTTTAATCGTGATTATATTCATTTAGATAATGATTATCGCTAAGCTTAGCAACAAACTTTTTCTTGTTGAGTTCTGAGGATCTTTTTAATGGAGATTTTCGGTTTTTTAGCTTATTATTGTAACCATTTAAATATTCTGTAGGGTAGGGATAAATATTAGTAGGTCGTTTCATTTTAAAATGATTTAAACAGACTGGCGAGTTAGGAGAAACTCTAAAATGTTTTCTAACAAGTCCAATTTTTGAATTCCATTTAGGCAACATCTTAGCGTCCTTGCATCTCCAAAATTATAGTTGCAAACTACCATTAAAACTGTTAATATGGTCTTTGATAACGTATTTATTTGGATATCTTCTATCGTTGTTGCAGTTTTGAACGACGCAATGATCCCCCCCACCCATTTTATATTTTATATAATTTTATTTTTTCTAATTGTTTTATTTACTTAGTTTATCTTTATTTATTTTCTTTAATTTACTTAGTTAAAAATTGTTTTGGTTTGTTTGCGCCTCCGTTATCCCATCATGCTTTACGCGTGAAATTTGAAAAATTAATAGCGAAAAGGCGAATATATTTTTTTTCTCGACGATTTTTGTAGCCCTTAGGTTATCTATGGAATAGTAATAAACTTGAGACGCAATTTTAAATAATCGTTTCTCGTAAACGAGATCTCATGGTCTTCTGAGTTCCCGCGCGTTCTTTTATTTTATAAACATTTATTATCATAAATTTAAGAAATTATTGAATTATAAAAATAGGAAGAGTTATTAAAGTGTCTGAGTTATTAATCATTATAATGGCTGCCGAATGCAGAACGGCGTTAAACGCGTTTTAAAAATTGCATTAGTCACATAGTAAAAAAAATCGAATAAGCATGTGGAAACGCTTTAACAGAAAATAACAAATAATTCAATTTAAGACAATATCTTCAATGTAATCTAATACAATCGTTGAACTTTACCCATTGTACTCTTAACATGCAAAGATCTAACATTCTGCCAATTCTTTTTTAAAAGAGAGACTAAAAAGTTAACTGCCAAAAAGATATTTTGAGCTAACTCATGATCAGTCATTTCAACATGCCCGACAGCAACTGCCAAACATAAAACCTGAAAAATATTTATTTATTGCCCAAAAAAACCGCAATATAATATCAATAGCAAGAATTACAAAATTCGGCAATTGCCTCCCAGTTGCTTGGCCTTACCAAAGACATTATTTATTCCTTTGAGTAAAAGGACTAAAACTCTGTGCCAAGTTTCTGGTAAACCTACCTTTTTCATTTGGAATTTAATAGTAGCTTTGATTTCATTTATTTTGTCCATCATCTTATCTGAGTGAGTTATCATAACTGGAAATTTTCCTGCCTTGTTAAGACCAGGCCCAAGAAGACGAGGAATCTGTTTAATCAAGGAGTCAGATGCAATAAATGCATCATATTTAGAAGCTATAAAAGAAGGAGAAAATAAAATGTAAAAATAAAAATAATTTTAGTATGCTTAATTAATAATTTTAAATTTATTTTGACAAATACGCTTCAAAATTTGTTGAATTTTAAATAAGGTAGATTAATTCTAAATTCTTATTATGTATTTTATTTAATAATTATGAATACGCAAGTTGATATTACAAATAACTATTAGAAAAAATATTTGTATGTACACAACTTTTCAAAATATTCTAATAATTACATGTCAAGCAAGAAGTAATATAGTTATTAAAAAAAGGTATGTCTAATAAACATGTTAAAATTTAAAATAAAAAAACTTAGATAAACAAGATTGCAAAATAGTAACTCTTCAAAAATTGGCAAGTCTAACTACCTGAAACTGCCTTTAAACACCTTAAATTAGTTTTACCTTGAAAAAAGGAAACCGATATAACCATAAACATTTAATTATAAGTTAGTCTCAGAGATCTTGGTGGTTACTCGTCATCCATGCAGTCAAGAGTAGCAAATATATTATTCATCATAGACTAATATTAAGAACTTATAAATTATAAAATAATCTAAACATAACCTTAAAACATAGCTTATAAATAACATAAAATATCAGAAACTTCATTGTTATCATGTGTATCAGAAACACGGACCTGAAGTTATTTACTCATCATATTATTTGCTTAAGCAATATCATAAAAATTTACTTACCAAGTTTCTTAACTTCTTTTTTATCTTTGTTAAGTTTTTTTAAGTCATCAACAGACTTGCAATCTATGCCGTTAGCTTTGGCTTGGTCACAGTGAGATTCATCACCTAGTACGCAAACTTTTAATTTTGGTCTTGGTATAGTCTTGAGTCTAATTGTCCCACTGAAACGTTTATCTTTTTGGGGATCATAATTTTTTAAAGCAATTTGAAGTTCAACTGTTTCCAAAAATTTACGTTTTTTTTCTTTGGAACCATCTAGAACCGCCTTTACTATTTCATATAACTGGTCTGCAGTTATCTTTGAACTAAATTAAATAACAGATTTTAAATGTAAGATCTTTATTTGACCACACTTTACGTAGTATAACTACAATTCATAAAGATGAAAGAGATTTATGAAGATAAAACTCACGACATTGTATCGTCGACTGCAAAGACTAAAGAAGCGTTAAGCAAACTTTTGAACTACATATAATATCGGCATTGTTAATTTGCAGAACATAAAAAAGCATAACATAAGTTAATCCTGAATATTTTTATTTAAATACATTTGGCTGTTAAAAAATTGTTAACTAAATTTTTTTACATCATATTTTATATATATATATATATATATATATATATATATATATATATATATATATATATATATATATATATATATATATATACATATATATATATGTATATCGTTAAATTTTATATACATTTTTAAAAGATTATTTTACAATAATAAAACTCTCAAATAAATATTAAAAAATAGAAGTCTTTTTACAGAGAAATAATAACGGACAAAAAATATATTGGTTCATTATTTATTTAACTTATAACACATACAATACCGCTAAGTACCAATATTTTAATTTATTTATGTAATACTTCAGTCTGAATAGTTATGTAATACTTCAGTCTGAATAGTTCAGACCGTCATTATGTAATACTTCAGTCTGAATAGTTCAGACCGTCATCACGTAAAATTAAATACTACAAGAAATGTCATTAAAACAATGGTTCATTATGTAAATTTTTGTCCGTTATTATTTCTCTGTAAAGACTTCTATTTTTTAATATTTATTTCAGAGTTTTATTATTGTAAAATAATCTTTTGAATATGTAAATAAAATTTTACGAAACATGTCAAGAATAAAAAACATCGTGTTATTTTTAAAAATAATTACTTATTTTATGCTATTAGGACGATCACAAATATATATATATATATATATATATATATATATATATATATATATATATATATATAATATATATATATATATATATATATATATATATATATATATATATATATATATATATATACATATATATATATATATATATATATATATATATATATATATATATATATATATATATATATATATATATATATGTATATATATATATATATATATATGTATATATATATATATATATATATATATATATATATATATATATATATATATATATATATATATATATATATATATATATATATATATATATATATATAATACACAGTGCCGTGGCTAGTGTGTTGAAGCCCCCCTTTTATTCATCGAGAAATTTTAAATTTCATAGTAAAATATTTTAGTGTTCAAAAATTATGGTTTGCAACCCCCGTAAATTGAGGGGGCTTTAAACTTTATATGGTCAATATATATTGATGAATATAAGTCTTGTTGAAAATAGGACCAAAAATATTTCATCAACTTGATGCTCTCACGTTTGGGGCAAGGAGGGGGTAAGATTTTAGGGGTTCTTGTTCCCATTTTTCTATCACAGTAATTTTTTTTAAAGAACCTTTTTGTCATACATTTCAACGTAAAAAAATTTGGAATATTCTTGTTGTTTATAAGTTGGTTATTTTAAACATTTAAAAACCTTCCTACGCCACTGTATGTAAGAAATATTTACAACTTTACTTTTAGTTGTTTTACTATTCAATTTAGTTATACCATGTCAATTGTAAATGGATCAAAAATATGGCAGTATTTTTGTAAAGAAAAATCCGGCGAATCTGCAATTTGTAAAAAGTGCAATGTAAATATAATGTGCAAAGGATTTTCGACAAGTGGGCCATTATGTCATTTAAAAAACGCACATAAAGAATTGGATTTAAAGATGAAGCGTCTACATGAAGATATTGGTTCGTAAATTAAAATTGTGCAAAAGAAAATCACATTGTTTGTTAAATAGCAGGCTATCGAGAAAGTTGTGTCAAAGCTACCAACGATGGATGGCTTTTCAATAAATGCCATAATAAAAAATGAATTCATCAGAAAATCATTGTCTTAAAAAGGCATATTATTACCAAAAAATCCATCCCATATTATGAGTATGATAAAAAAAACAATATGATTTAGCTAAAAAACTGTGGTTTTAGAGGTAACAAAATAAATATCTAGCGGGTCGCGATTTTCTTTATCGCTAGACGAATATACGACATTATTTAAATGTAAATTTACACTTATCAACAAAGTTTTGGAGCCTGGAAATGACTCCGATAGCTGGATCACTTCTTGCAAAAAAAAATTGTTATTCTAGTTGAAAACAAACATATTTCAGTTTATCAATTAAAAAGCACATCATAGCTAGTGTCACTGACGGAGCATCCGTAATGAAAAAATTTGGACGGCTAAGTGGTATTGAACATCACTTGTGTTATGCCCACGGACTTCATTTGGCAGTATGTGATGTTCTTTATAAAAAGTCAGACTCTTTAGCAAAACATATCGAATTTAAATTGCAGTTTAAAGGTTCCGATGAAAATTTGAGTGATTACGATGAGTTTGATGATGTATTTGACTGTAATAATGAGTCATAGAGCTCAACAGGCGTTACGTTTATTGATGGTATACAAAATAGCGTAGATATAGCGTTAACAGTTTAGAAGGTTCAAAAAGTGGTTCAAATGTTCCGCAAATCACCTCTTAAAAATGAACTTTTACAAATGTACGTAAAATTTATGTTTCATAAAGAACTTAAGCTGATATTAGATGTCAAAACGAGGTGGAATAGTCTTGTTGCAATGCTAGAAAGATTCCTTCAAATAAAAACATGTATACTAAAAGCAATGATCAATTTAAAAGAAGTTCTAAGTATCTCCGAAGATGAATATGCGATTATAAACAACAAAACATTTTCTCTGCATCCGATAAAAGTTGAAATAGAAAAACTTGGTAGAAGTAATGTTACTCTACTTGACGCAGAAGGTGTAATGATATTCATCATAGACGATTTGGCGGAGAAAAAAAATTTTATAGCTAATCAACTGCTTCAATCTGTGCAGCAGAGAATTGAAGAACGCAGAAATGCCAATTTAATTGGACTACGAAAATTTTTAAACAACCCAATTAGTTATAATCAGGAGTCAAATATCAACTCCAAACTACTCTTACTATCCTATGCATTAAAAGCAACAGCAAAAAAAATTTATACCAGGGATCAATGTTATAAAACCTTTTATCGGCGTAAAATGCTACCGGCGGAATTTTTACAGCCGTAAATTTAGAGACGTAAAATGTTTTTTTATTCAATGTTATAAAACTTTATAAAACGTTATAAAATTTTATCGGCGTAAAATTTTGAAGATATCTGAATTTATTTTCGGAAATCTACTGTCCGAATCAATAACATAAAAGTTTATCAAAAACAAAATGTTTTTGAGTTGAAAACATCAAAGCTAACAAAAATTAACAGTTTCTTATGGATTTGGACTTGGACTGTTCCGATTCTGATGAAGAATATTTTGTTGCTTTAGAATGTTTGGCAAATCAGAGACAACCGCGTAAAACTGTTCAAACAGTATTTAAACTGTTAAGAATACAATTTAAAAGTAAAAAAACGGAATTGTCATTAATTTTTTACCCTAGCCTATAACAAAATATGTATAGCTTTTCTAGAAAAATAACTTTTTTTATACTATTTTTTATATAGAGGTTTCTTTAGACCAGAGTTAGTCCTTGGCCTTGACCTTGCCTTAAGAATAAAAAACTAAGGCCCTAGGCCTTGTAACTTTTGGCCTTGGCTTTGAAGTTTTTGGCCTTGACCTTGATTGTTTAGGCTTCGGTCTTTATAATAAAATACACAAAATTAAAGAAATTTTTTTACGTAAAAAAAGTTTTTATTCTTTTTTTTATGTAATTAATTAGGTAATTAATCATTCTTTATTTCGTAAAATTGTGTTGATATAAATATAGAAAATCTACACATATTTTATATTATACAATCTATACACATAGAAACACATATTATACAATCTATACACATAGAAAATCTATACACACAGAAAAAAATAGGAAAAATTGCATAAATAAACTTTAAAAAAAAATGACTTTAAATGTTAAATAATTAAAAGAATTATTCACTAACTCAAATTCTTATAACAAAAATTTATTTAGACACAAATAAACATTTAAACATAAAACTCTTTTGATGCTTTCTAATTAGAATTTTATCCGCAATAAGTTTTGATGTGCTTCCATACCAGAGACAATATGAGAAACTTTGAAAACAAGTTGTACATAATGTCTAAACACTTTGTGAATAAGAAGGAAAATCTTTGATGTATTTTGTTATCTGATTTTATCAAAAATATTTGAGCTCATACCATATTCGAACATCAAAGGTAATTTCTAGAACTTTAATAATTCTGTTTATAGTTTGACCACTTGTATTACTATTTCGAACTTCAAATAAACTATGCATAAATTTTAAACGGAGAAATTTATTTTGCCTGTTCATTTTGAGTTTGTCTAAAACTAAAGTTGATCTGATTTTTTTTGATTTGGATCAATAAATAGTCCTAATAAATCTAGCATAAGTGCATTTTTTTAATTAGCTCAATAACAAACGTTGGAAACACTTTAAATTCCTTTTCAAGCATTTTAAATTCCTGATAGTTTTCTTTCAAGCTCCAATGTCTAAAAGAAAATTTGTAAAGTTAATCTAAAAAGTTAAATTTGTTCATTAACTTTCATTCATGAAAACTTATATACATATATATGTATATATGTATATATATATATATATATATATATATATATATATATATATATATATATATATATATATATATATATATATATATATATATATATATATATATATAGTTTTGCAAAAGAATACTATTTTGGTAAAAATATTTCGGCGCCAGCATGTTTAGTATGTAATGAATCTGTTTTTGAGTGCAAAGAATATAATTTAATGAAGCACCATGATTCATAACATTAAAAAAACTTAACCAGTTTCTTTTTTTTTTTTTTTCCAATTATTATCTTTTTTTTGTCGTATAATAAAATTTACAATGAGGAAGATCATACATATATAAAAATGGCTGGAACAAGAAAAAGACATACGCTGTTTTATCGCCAAGCCCCGTTTACATTAACGTCACAAAGTAACAAGTTAAAAATTATAAAGTTAAAAATAAAATACAGTATTAGTTCTACACATATAAAACACAAGTAACAAATC